AGAGACACACTTTAGGGGTTTAAATTTTGATTGCAATTAATGAAGGCCGTCTTCTAGACGACGGTTAAAATAGTAGTCTTTAAGTAGTGGTGACTTTGATAGACACTGACAGTCATGAAGATAGAAAAAACATAATTAATTGCTCATTTATAAGATGACAAAACTTATTAACTTTTATTAAAACAACAATATGCTAAAAAAAAGGGCCAGATTGCATATTTATCGCAATTTCCTATAAATCAATAAGAAAGGAAGTCACTCAAGAGTGAAACATCAACATTTTCCAACAAGAGGAAAACGAAAACGAAAACCCCAACAAGTTAATGGCAATCATAACCCTGCAAAACAACACATCAATTATCAGTCTCACAGTATTATTAAAGCTGAATTGCAATTAAATACATACAGTAATTCAATGAGGGCTAACCATCTTTAATGGTATTTAACGTTATATAGATAGCAAATAGACATAATAATCATTAGCAAGTAACAAATATACATGTGTGTATATATATACATATATATAAACATACATATATATACATATATATATATATATACATACATATATATATATATACAAATACATATATATATACATATGTATATATAGAGCATGATGTAATCTACGTGTGTTCCTTAGATACATAACTCAAGGAAAAAGACGATGAGATTGTTAACCTGTGAGAAGTACTTCTCACAAGTTAACAGTTACTTATGTAGGCCTACTAACTAATTGCAGAATCAGGTGGTAAGAAATAGTTGTTACACAAAGGCTAGTATATCGAAAAAAAAAATGTAATGCCAATGACACAAAATTATATAAGGCTATCTTTATTTAGTTCAAACACAGAGTTGTTGGTTTAACGCACTTTGGCTGTTGGTGTAATGAACCGTGACTCAAAATACCGACCATATCTCGTGTATTAAACCATGTATGTAAATGATATATATTGTGAAAATGGAAAACAAGTTGCTGAAAATGTGATATAAATGCCATGTTTTGTTTGAAATTATGTTTTATTTATCGTAATGTAATTTTAGATGGTGATTTTATTATCTCATTTCCTGTGCCAAATCAAGAAAATCCTTATATATATTTTACATAATGGACTTTCATATTTTTTAAACTACCATAATTTCAATCAAACTTGTTTCATGTTGATGTGGTCTTTCTAGACTAGAGTTCTGCATTTGGTCAGGTTGACTACTCGGTCGTTATTTGAAAACTTCACAGATACGGTATATCATGTGTATATAACATGAGGTCAATTTAATTTAGTTTATTTATTTTTTTGAATTTATATTAATTTTATTTATTTATTTTTAAAGATTATTTTATATTTGTTGGCTATGCACCACTGACTTGGCCTAGGCCTATTATTTTTAGCTTGTTGGATCAGATCAAATCAGATCAATCAGATACTCAGATATAATTACATTTAGATGCATATATGAAAACCAGTGCCGGATTAAGCATCGTCTGGCCTCAATGCACATTTTGGAAATGTCCCAAAAATGTTAATTGAATGGACTCCATGGTAATAATTACGAAATGTAAAAACGCCAGCTACCGTGATTACTCATTCAATGGTAACTGGTCTACACCGTCTATTTGCTCTCTCCAAAGTTGGTAGCATACACTCGCGAAAGTTCTAGAAATATAACTCTCCTAGACTGTGGAGATGACTAAATGTAAAATAATGATAAAATATGTTCCTCGTAAAAACGGCGATGCGCTAGAGCTAACCTGTTGCTCAAATGATGGGCGAAAATGGTAAAATCCCAGAGAAAAGAACAGGGAAAATTAGGTCGATCTGATCGCTGTAAGCTGCGCGAACAAGATGGCGACGGCACTGAAAACACATGCCTGCTGTAAACGAGGGTGCATGGAACTAACAAAACCACTACAGTTTAACTTAACTCTGATTTTAGGCCTTTTGCAGGCTCACAGATCTATCGGGATTCACAGATGGTTGCGTGAACATGTCAAAATAAAAAGACTTGCAGAAAAAAGAAAAACTCGTGCAAGATCGGCTTTCAGCTAGGTGTTTTTATGGGAGAATCCTGTTAGATCAAAGGTCCGCTAGATCGGATAAAATAATAGTATGTGCTGCAGGAAAACATTTAGTATAAATCAGAACATCCGATGGCCGCAGGCACAAAATCTTTTGTGTCGGAGAGAAGCGTTACTCTGCCAAAACTCTAACAGTAGAATGTCTCCGAGTTTTCTGGCCTAATAATACCGGAAAATAGAGTGTAAATAATATTACAGTCCAACTTTTGATGGCCTATCATTTTCGCCTGGCCCACAAGGCTTGTGCCTTATTTGCCTAATGGTTAATCCGGCACTGACGAAAACCCAGAAACAGCAAGCAGAATAACACAATGAATAATATACATTGAAACATAACAGAAGAGGAATCTGTCAAAGAAAAATTTAACTGAGCCTTCATCGGGACTCGTACTGGGATATTTTGCATACAGGGCAGACGTCATAACCACTTGAACACGAAGGCGTTGTGGTGGTTCAGGCGACAGTAGAATGTTTTTTTTTTATTAAAAAAAAAAAAAAGAAACAGGGACTAAAGCAGGTAATTTTTTTTGTGAGGGTGCAGCGGACCACAACTCCTTTGCAATTCCTTTTCCATTCATCAGTTGAATGGGCACATTTGGGAGATAAATTGTTTGAGAGAACAATTTGATCAGTTACTGTTATAACAGGATCTTTAATGCACAATGGTTTAGATAAATTTAATAGATTAGAAAGGAGGCATATTCCACAATTTGTTTTCTGAGAAACGAAAAAAATAAAATAAATATAAAATAACCTAAGAATATAAATAATTCACACTTCCCTCACGAAGTTAGTTTTTGGTTTGGGCGTTACTTGGTTCGTGTCTGATCTGAGCTCAGTAGGCTAAATGATGACAGTTTTACAAATGAAGACGTCGTAGAAAGTAGCTGCACTATTTTATAGTAAGTGAGCAGCATTTTTTTGGATCTAACGTACTACTATATTATTTATTTATTTTGATTTCAACAATATTTTGTGAAGCTGGTCCATCCAGCAAGAGCTGATCAATTAGGACCATTAGTACATAAAATTAAAGAAAAACAATTAAAGATAAAAATTAAAGTTTATTTTAGTTTATTTTTAATTAGGCCTTTAATTTTATTTTCAAGTGTTCCGTCGTTTAAGGCGGGATTATTGATTAACATTTAAAGTATTTATAGAATTTAAAGTAAATACTTGCCACCAGACCTTATACCACTTGGTCAATAACATCTTGACTCTTTCACCACACGGCCTTTTTCCATTATATGTGTGTTACCACTCGATACGTTGCTGTTTTGGATTTTCCCACCAAGTATATCATTTGCAGACGGCTCTGTATGATCTTCCATATCTGCTAAAATTTGGAACCTTTTCTTGAGTTGTAGCACAAACGAGCCTTTAACCTTTGGGTCATGCAGTTTCCCAACATCAAAATGTTATCTGATTGTCTTCTTGTTTCTGGTTTTCCTAAGCTTTTTACCTGAAAAACAGCTAAGACCAGACGATGATCGCTAGCTATATCAGCTCCTGTTTAACTTTGGCATCAAGTAATGAGTGTTTCCAGGTGCCATTTATCATAAGATTGTCGACATCTATTTGGTTCATATCCCTTTTATTGGAGAGTTCCGGGTCAATTTGTGAATATTTTTTGTGCTGAAAGAGAATTTCTCCAATTTTTAAGTCATAAGCGGTACAAAGCTCAACTAGCCTCTCTCTCCATTCTCATTCAAAATACCTCAGCCTTCTTTTTTTATTGCTCTATAATTGGCATTCAAGTCCCCTAACAACCTTCGTGTCATGTCTAGGTATATTTTTCAACTCAGCCTGTAGTTGCTCATAAAAATTGTCTTTTAGAGTGTCATCACTATCGTTTGTTGGTCCATAAAACTGAATGATGATAGTATGATTTGCCTCCCTCTTAGTTTGACCTTTATGAACCTACTATTGATAGGTTCCGACTCTATCAGACTGTTTTACACTCCTTTCTTTAGAATATTGGCCACTCCTCCCCTGTGATATTCGTCATTCGTCCCTGAATACAACACTGTTTCTCCTGTGTTATTCTTAAGTCTTCCTGACCCTGTCCACAGTGGCGTCGAGAGCCAGTAAGGGCTTCGGGGCAACACCTCACATGCCCCCCGCCCCCCTTCACTTGGGACCCCGACTCGGCCGCTCCCCAAATTAAGTCTACTCCTAAGACCCTATTTGTCCAAACCCACATATATGAATATGATTCCATGTGATTATTTTTTTGCAATGTAGATGTATCAGAATAATCTGATGAATAAACGATAATAATTATATATATAATACACGTATATACATACCACTTTGCATCTGGTTTGGAACGGGAGAGCATTGGGTGGACTATTCCCCTGGCGGATTATTCATCTAGTAATAAACATACAGAAAGACTGAGAAAGACGCCCATAAAACCATAATGTAGAGTTTGTTCTGACAACAAAATTTTTCATCCTGGCTTGGGCTCGAGGCCTATGGAGATTTTGTTCTTACCCCGAAAATTTTTGATCTTGGTCCGGGCCCCCCAGTAGACCCGGGTCCAGGGGCAGCGACCCCCTGACCCCCCTCTCGACGCCACTGCCTGTCCATCTGCTTTCACTTATGCCATGTATGTCTAAATTGTATCGTCTCATTTCTGATGCAACTTGCGTCAGTTCCCCTGTATCGTACATTGCACGCAGTGGCGTATCTAGCACTATCAAAATGGTGGGGCTGGTGGAGGTGCGCGACCAAAATATGAGGGGGCGTGGAATTTATTTTC